TAGAAACAATGTGAATGAACACCACAACAGCTTAAGTAGCACATTTTGCAAAACACAACATTTATGTCACTGCCAATACTTTTGGCCACGACTGTATATCATTCAAAATTTGGGGTCAGTAAGATTTTTTACATTTTTAAAAAGAAATGAATACTTTTATTCAGCAAGGATGCATTAAATTGATAAAAAGGGACAGTAATGACATTTATAATCTTACAAAAGATTTCTGTTTCAAATTAATGCTGAATATGAAGCGTCCTGTTTTCAACATTGATAATAATCAGAAATGTTTCTTGAGTAGAAAATCAGCATATTAGAATGATTTCTTAAGGATCGTGTGACACTGAAGACTGGAGTAATGATGCTGAAAATTCAGCTTTGCTCACAGGAATAAATTACATTTTACAGTATATTCAAATAGAAAATAGTTATTTTAAATTGTAATAATATTTCAAAATATTACTGATATTACTGTATTTTTGATCAAATAAATGCAGCCTTGGTGATCAGAAGAGCCTTCTTTCAAAAACAAAACAAAAAATCTTACAGATCCCAAACTTCTCTCTCTCTCTCTCTCTCTCTATATATATATATATATATAAAACAGCACCTTAGCAAATCTATATATTTATAAAATAAGTTTTATATTTTACAACATGTTAGCAACTGCAATCAACAGTTAGTAATGTGATGCCAACTCAGATTTTCTATGGGAAATATAAAAATCTAGTCAAATTGTATCCAGAAAGTATGTACATTTAATGTGAAGTTGTTGGTTTTTTACATTTTACAATCTATTCAAATTGAAAATAGTTATTTTAAATTGTAATAATATTTCAAAATATTATTGTATTTTTGATCAAATAAATGCAGCCTTGGTGAGCAGAAGAGACTTCTTTCAAAGACAAAACAAAAAATCTTACAGATCCCAAACTTCTCTCTCTCTCTCTCTCTCTCTCTCTCTATATATATATATAACAGCACCTTAGCAAATCTATATATTTATAAAATAAGTTTTATATTTTACAACATGTTAGCAACTGCAATCAACAGTTAGTAATGTGATGCCAACTCAGATTTTCTATGGGAAATATAAAAATCTAGTCAAATTGTATCCAGAAAGTATGTACATTTAATGTGAAGTTGTTGGTTTTTGATTATGTTGAGTGCTAAATTTTCCCAAACTCATGGAGAAAATCTTCCAGAGCTTTGGAAACAGAATTCCATCCTGGATTCGGCACACGTCACTCCCTGCTCCACTATGGGAAATGGTTTAAGCGAGACCATGTGCGTGACCGTGTGTGTGTGTGTGTGTGTGTATGTGCTGCAGTACTTCGACTGTATGCACTGATGTAATAGGATCCTGTAGCCTGGGAGACATGCTATTCTCTCTCTGTTTCTATGTAAAGGTGCTTATTTGGTGCAGCAACTGGAGTATGTGTTTATTTTGGCCATAATTCTGCTGGTAGATTCAATTAGGCTTCAGGAACTTTTATTCCCCAGAGCGCACATGCAACATTCCTCAAATGCAGCACAGTGTTTTCTAGAGTAAATAGTAATGAGCACACACACCTGAATGTGCGCGCACACACACACACACACACACACTATGCTGCCCTCTGGCTCAGTTCTAGTCCAAGAATTAGATTTAAAAATCCCCAAATTCAATTATTTTTTGCCTGATCAATCGCAGGTCACAGGGATCTACCCAGATATGCATCTGTATGCATGTGTGTTATTTAAACAATACAGTTACAGCTGAAGGAACAACACACAGCATCTTGAGTCTCTTATTGCTTTTACAAAATAAAAACTAACATGCACACATGATATTCACCAAAAGTTTGGAATGCTCCAAAAAAAAATCTACCACTAATTTACCTTGGGGGGGGGATTAAAGAGGCATTAATATTATGATGATAATATGAAGCATTTTGAATGTAATTATGATGCAATGTATACAAATATTTAGCTATTATATATAAAACTTTTTTAGTTTTTGGTATATATATATATATATATATATAATTTGCTTAAATTAAATATTTTGCTTATATAAATAGTAAATGTAATACATGTGTGTGTGTGTATATATATAGATATAAAAATGTTTAGAGGAAAATCTCATGTACTTCTGACGAAATTAAAAATATATAGTAATAATAATTGTATATATTATACATAATATATTAATATAATTATTATTAATTTATATTTTAATTTGAAATAAAAAATATAATTATAGTCATTGTTTAATTATACTAATATATTGTAATATATTCTGAGCTTTTGATCAGTATTAGGATCATATCAGCTCCTGATAGGTGAATTATTTTGAGTGCACTATGATTTTAGATGCACTAATCCCCATCACACTGTTTAGAACAGACAGTGTGTGGACTGGGTTTGAGCCAGGCTGATAACGCTGATCTGTTTCTCTGTAGGTTATGGGACTCATAAGCCCAGCTGGAGTTTCTCATCAGACTCAGGCTGAGTTTTCTCTGTCATCTCTCAGCGGTGCTCTGGATTCGGGTGGATCGGTCAGCAGCAGCTGCTCTCAGCGCATGGAGCCCTTATCCAGTCTACCTGCCCTGTCCAACCTGTCCAGCCCACAGTCCTACAGCTCGGCCTCCTTCTACAGCATGGAGCACAGCGCCCCCTACCAGTACAGCCAGTACGGACAAAGTAAGGTCATTATACTGTCAGACTACTCCATCCTTCTTATTTGCTTCACTTGCTACTAGTTTGTGTCTTTAGAGGTTAGTGTGTGTGT